GAAGGAACTTTTGGCAAAGTAGCCAAATGTGTCAATTTGAAAGCAAATGAGAACACGGCCATGAAGATCCTTCAAAGACGTCAATGATTATGCCATCGTAAGTACAAATGCTGGAAAAGCTCAGGAAACTTGATACAGAGAAAAACAACTTGGTGCGATTCGTGGATAATTTCATAGTCGATGACAAGTCTTGCATCGCTTTTGAGTGTTTAGACAGGAGTCTTTACGATTTGATGGAACAGAGAGAGGCACCATTGACTCTTAATGAAATCCGTCCTATAACTCGTCAGCTACTTGTAGCACTCAACGCCGTGAAGGGTATCGGCATCCTTCACGCAGACGTCAAACTTGACAACGTTATGCTCGTCAACCACCAAGATGAGCCCTTCAGAGTGAAATTAATTGACTTTGGTTTGAACCATGCCAGCCTCCGAAGCACGGGAAGGAATGATTGCACAACCTATTGCATACCAAGCACCAGAAGTGTCCTTGGGCCTCCCCATATCTGAAGCCACTGACACGTGGTCACTGGGAGATCTCTTGGCATCTCTGTTATGATTACCAGACCTCTTCAAGGAGAATCTTAGTAGGACGTAATGAACACTATTGTGTGTCTGCTCGGTCAGCTCCAAGTCCACCTGTGTGTGTGTTGGAAAGTGTGTCAGTCTGTGTGTCTCGGTGTGTGTCTGTGTGTGTGTGTCAGTGTGTGTTTGTCTGTGCGCGTCACAGTAGCCCAAAGAGAAGCAGTTTTCGGCTTCGGGCTTCAGCCAGTCACGCTGAGTGGGAGGTGTGTGTCATAATGTGCTTGTGTTACAACATGTGTGTTCTAATGTGTGTGTGTGTCATACAAGGAAAACAGCTGTTTAGTGTGTCTGAGCCCCCCCCCTCCCCTTACACACACACACACACACACACACACACACACACACACACACACACACACACACACATTATACTCAACCTTCAGGCTGCTAAATATTTTAATGTAATTTTCTGGGAACTGTGAATTACAGAGTGAGCATGTGTGTCTGTTTGTTTGTTTGTTTGTGTGTGTGTCTATTTGTATGTGTGTGTGTGTTTGTGTGTGCAGATGTATCCGTGTTAGCTGTCTGAGATTAATGTCCCACATACTCTTTGTGTATATACATACATTGATATATACATAGCAGTCTCTCCGGAAGGTTCTGGGTCTAATGTGTCTCTAACAGGTTGAAGATGTTGGACCTCCTGAAGAGATGGTGAACATCCGGCTCAGATGTTGAACTTTCTGATTGAATGTTGAACCTCTTTGTCAGAGGTTCTATTGTGGGGTCCCCATACTGGACACTCCTCCTGTCCATAAAAATCCTAAACAGGATTCCTAGAGAACACATGTCGGCTGTCCAGACACAGCTCTCACTTTGGTCACACAAGGACCTTGTAATCATACCGGACCTCCCACAGGACTCCCTAAGGGACATGGTCGTTCTCCCAGATCACCAGGCACATGTAGACTGGATGAGCAAACTCATATACCGGTATAGTCCACTTGTCCTCTTGTCCAACAGTCCCCCGGGTCACTGGTCCATTGATCCTGGAGACTACAGGTCCAGTGGGCCACTGGTCCAGAAAACAATGAACAAGCTCTCCCAACGAGTCTGAGCAGTGTAATAACCCTTTTTTTTAATGGGAACTATTACCTGGGTCTGCCACGGTCCCAGTCCCTGACCTGCATGAGACACTGAAGAGACTGGTCCACCCAGACATCCCAACAAGATCTAGAGCCTTCAGCATGTCCTCCAGCTATCTAGGTGCGAAGCCTCAACAAGCTCCTTATGGATTAGACATCAAACTCTACCTCCTTAACGCAGGAAGTGTTGGCTGGTTCAGGTCCATTTTCAACCCGCACTGCTTCCATTTATTCTTGTGGTTTAGCAGAACTTTCTTGAGTCTAAACCGAAGTACTTCTCCATATTCTCCTCAAACACAACTCTCTGTATGGTTGTGTTTATTAGGGCCTCACACTTTGATGTGGTACTTCTAGCCATTAAATCACATCAACAGCACATTTGTGAAGTAAAGCCGTAAGACTTTGATGATAGTTCACCATGAATATTGAAGGTTTATGAAAAACTTTGTTGCCGTGGCGACATGGCCTTGCATGAAAGATCAAGCAGATATGTCTTTGCCTTGGCAAACTCAAAAACTCATGAAACATTCTGGATGTGTTCTAGGTGATGACAGTACAGATCTGATGTGGAGTTTTGGCTCGTAAGTGGTAAATTTACTCCATAGAGCCTTCACAGTCAAAACGGAGGTGCTTTTGAGGAACTAAATGTGCTCGAACGGTAACTAAATTTGGCACACACAGTTAAATATGTAGTTACTTCACATGATTTTATTTCTTCCAAATGGCAATTTGGATTGACAGCACCCCTTAAACACATATTCATTTAAGCAACGGCTTTGATGCAGGTGCAGTCTGTTCCTTTTCCTTGTTTTGATCAGAGTCATTGCAGAATATGTGACATATAAGTTCTGATATGTTACATGAATATGTTGAAGCAAAGAGAAGTGAGTGATCCAGTTTTCTGTGCCAGGTCATGGTGCTCCTGCTTTCCACCCACCCAAAACTAAGTGAATTGTGGCTGTTGCAAACTTCACCTGGAGGCCACAGTCAGAGGACACTGGGTTTCTCACCCAATCCAGCCATGCAAATTCCCCCCCCTCCCCCCCCATGTCAGGAGAGTAGGATTGTAGATATTGAATCAAGTTGGTCATATGTTGTTGCTGTGACCGACATGACTAGACCTCTGTCCACATCCTCACCGGAGAGAAATGAGCCACTTGATGAAAGCAAAGGTCTGTGCACAGTCACTGTTCCACAGCTTTGCTCTCTTCCTGAAGCCACCCACGTTGTCACACAAGGTCACAAGGTTAAATGCTGGTGTCCTTATCATGCAGAGACACATTCAGTGAGTGGAGTTTGCAGAATATATCTGCCAGACCTCTACTCAATCAGAAATGTGTATACTTCACATGTTAATTCCAAAAGCTGGTTGAGAATTCTCCCTCAGTTCTCTGTGTTCAGCTCTCACAGAGACGACAAAAGACGCCTGTTTGAAATATATGGAATTGATCTTAAATCATTTCACAATTCATAATTTTTGAAAACATCACAGTACAGCAAGGACTTTGGCCAAAAGGTAAGTTCGGGCGTCATTGAGTGTACTTTTTTTATTCCGACCGTCCCCCTGGACATGCAAGGGGAGGCAAAGGCTCATTTATCGCGGCTCGCAGCTTTAATTTCTTTTCTATTGTCGGTTGTTGTTTCGTAATGTTTGTTAGGGCACCCTGAGAGTTTACGTGTCTTTGGCTGACCTGGGAGCTGCTTGTCTCCGGCGGCTGGGGCGATGCGAATGTACGGCGTTGTGAGCTGGGTGACGATAATGGCAGCTGTCATCCAGGAAGGCATGCAGAGAAACAGACAGGCAAATAGACAGACAGGCTGTGGCAGTGGTTGTACTGAAGCAGAAATATTAGTGACACACCTGAAATAGAAGCTTGTTAATCAGCCAATCGATCAATCGGCCAATCAATCAATCAGTCATTAGTCAAACAAGCAGAAAGTGCAGGTCCCCGATTCCCGCAACAGAAAAAAAAGTTCAAAAAGAGTTAAACTGCGTTTCTACAGCTCTTCAGTAAGTCTTATAGAATGTTATCTATACATATATAAACTCTAAATGTCAAAGTAAGCAAATTCACATTTAGAGCCAAAAAATAGAAACAGCGTACAAACACAAGATAGTAAATATGTACTGTACTTGCAAACTGTAAATATATATATATATATATATATATATATATATATAATATATATGTACATATTTACATACAGTGTACATTTATGTGTGTGTTTATACACTGCGTCTGGTTTGTTTGACTAGATCTCAGTTTCCTCACTGACACTCAGAGCTTGGAGCAATTGTCTGTGTGAGGGGAACGGGATAATGTGTGTGTGTGTGTGTGTGTGTGTGTGTGTGTGTGTGTGTGTTTCAGAGCATCCTACTGTTTCAGAATAAAATAGAATCATTGCGGTTGAAACTTTTCTTTGTACTAACAAATGTCCAGTTAAAATTCAGATGACGTTCATCTCTCCTTCACATTCACATCGGCTTCATTCACTGATAGCGCTGCAAGGCATCATGGATACTCTGAAAGGGGGGGGGGGGTACTCCCCCTGGGAGATCTGATAGCTGCTGTTGCGTGACCGACAGGTGCCGGGGGAGCAGCAGAGCCAATCAGCATCTGGTGTCGTTAGCCACCAGAACTGTGCTCCAATAAAAGTTGATTAAGGCCAGAACAGTCAATAAATAAGAGTGTGTGTGCGCGTGTCTGTGTTTGTTTGAGAGGGTGATAACACTGAATATTTATCAGGGGACATTACAGTGTGTTTAGCTTGTTTAGCTCTACTGCTTAACAGCTCTCTGGACGCCTATAGCCCGGGTCGTTAGCCTGGCGTTAGCATGGCAAAGAGTTCAGTGTGTGCCGTCTTTCTGTTGTGTGTCTATCCGTCTGTCTGTAGAGGAAATACCTCATTTCCTCTACAGACAGATGTTCTTGTCAGGGACGAGCAGCCATCTGCTGGCCATTATACTTCTGGATGGGACAATGTGCTAACCATTAGCCTAGCGCTCTAACAGCTAACTGCCGTCTGGCTCTCATTAAAAAACACTAGCCGCTGATTGGCTAGCCAACAGCTGATTTAGCACTTAAATCCAGTTCAGTATAGAATAAACAGAGACAAAACTGCTGGGTAACAATATATGGAATACATCTTCGAGGATACAGTGCATCCGGAAGTATTCACAGCGCTTCACTTTTTCCACATTTTGTTATGTTACAGCCTTATTCCAAAATGGATTAAATTCATTATTTTCCTCAACATTCTACACACAACAGCATATAATGACAAAGTGAAAAATGTTTTTTGCAAATGAAAAATGAAAAATAACATGTTCTGTGGAATAATTTATATTGTTCCTCTCTCCTACCGCCGTTCTTTGCATTATTAAATATGAAGTTGACTCAATCTAGTTGGTTCTACTTGGCAGTAAAAAATCTAATCTGAAAATATAGCCCTTCAAAATAAAATGCAACACACTTATTTACCTTTGGTGGCCACTCGCACACAGTCAATCTTTGTCTCCTGTTGGAGAGAGAAGCAAATTATTTTCCTGTCAACACAGATGGCGACATATTAGCTGTCACATCTGGAAATTTTCTCCAGGAGAACAAACAAGCACACAAACACACACAAACACACACATACAATCACAAAGTGAGGCAGGGTTTTGGTGAAAGGCGAGAAAGAACATCTTGAGTCTTTCTGGTTTTAACTAACAGATGACAAATTGACGCACGCACACACACGCACACACACACAGTGGAGCGTCTCTGCGGTGTGGCGACAGTAAAAGGCACTACGGTTGCTGCATTATTCAATACACACACACCAATTAAATCTCCCGCCGTCAATAATTAACATGTTGTTCATGTGTGTGTAACGGTTAGCAATTATCTTCCTTTCACACATATACATGATAAAACACGCACACGCATCCCCCACTGCAGCCTATTAGTGCCACTGGTCAGATTGCTAAATCTTCACTTCCATTAAATTGATTGTCTGTGTGTTGTTGTGTGACTTCTCTGTCTCACTTCTCTGGTTTTTATGACAGACAGAAAAAAAAGTTGAGGACATTGAACTGACGAACAGAATATAACAATGTGGATGCTTTGTTGTAACAAACACACACACACACACACATACACAAACATACGCACACAGCCCTGTCACACAGCTCTGCTGCACTCTGAGATTGGACATCTTGACACCAGCATTTTGTAGAACTTCAAACTCTCCTGAGATCATTCAACATGTGTCAAAGTCAAATTAATCCACTGCAAGCTGAGATCAGTTTAGCTGCCAAAGAAAAAAAGACTAGAGGGACCAGGTGTGTTAGTGATCAGGTGTGTTAGGGACCAGGTGTGTTAGTGATCAGGTGTGTTAGTGATCAGGTGTGTTAGGGACCAGGTGTGTTAGTGATCAGGTGTGTTAGTGATCAGGTGTGTTAGTGATAAGGTGTGTTAGGGACCAGGTGTGTTAGTGATCAGGTGTGTTAGGGACCAGGTGTGTTAGTGATCAGGTGTGTTAGTGATCAGGTGTGTTAGGGACCAGGTGTGTTAGTGATAAGTTGTGTTAGGGACCAGGTGTGTTAGAGATCAGGTGTGTTAGTGATAAGGTGTGTTAGGGACCAGGTGTGTTAGTGATAAGGTGTGTTAGGGACCAGGTGTGTTAGTGATCAGGTGTGTTAGTGATAAGGTGTGTTAGGGACCAGGTGTGTTAGTGATCAGGTGTGTTAGGGACCAGGTGTGTTAGGGACCAGGTGTGTTAGGGACCAGGTGTGTTAGTGATAAGGTGTGTTAGGGACCAGGTGTGTTAGTGATCAGGTGTGTTAGTGATCAGGTGTGTTAGGGACCAGGTGTGTTAGTGATCAGGTGTGTTAGGAACCAGGTGTGTTAGTGATAAGGTGTGTTAGGGACCAGGTGTGTTAGTGATAAGGTGTGTTAGTGATCAGGTGTGTTAGGGACCAGGTGTGTTAGTGATCAGGTGTGTTAGTGATCAGGTGTGTTAGTGATAAGGTGTGTTAGGGACCAGGTGTGTTAGTGATCAGGTGTGTTAGGGACCAGGTGTGTTAGTGATCAGGTGTGTTAGTGATCAGGTGTGTTAGTGATCAGGTGTGTTAGTGATCAGTTGTGTTAGGGACCAGGTGTGTTAGGTACAAGGTGTGTTAGGGACCAGGTGTGTTAGTGATCAGGTGTGTTAGAGATCAGGTGTGTTAGTGATCAGGTGTGTTAGTGATCAGGTGTGTTAGGGACCAGGTGTGTTAGTGATCAGGTGTGTTAGTGATCAGGTGTGTTAGTGATCAGGTGTGTTAGTGATCAGTTGTGTTAGGGACCAGGTGTGTTAGGTACAAGGTGTGTTAGGGACCAGGTGTGTTAGTGATCAGGTGTGTTAGAGATCAGGTGTACTCACCCCATTAGCAGTGCTGACGGCCTGGTAGTAGATCCCATAACTCTTATGAGGCAGTAAAGGAGCATTCCAGTAACCGCTGTAGGTCCTGTTATCACCTATATATACATACATGTCACAAGTTCACTCTTACCTGTTTGATAATTCTGTACTCAACCAACCCTAACCTGTTAATTAACTGACTAAGTAACCACCTAACTAAGTATCTAACAAATAGGTAACCACCCAAATAACTAACCACCTAATGAACTACATGACTGACTAACCAACTAGCTGTGTGTGTGTGTCTGTGACTGACCCACACTGAAGCTCATGGCGGTCCTCAGCTCGCTCCTCAGCAATTCTGCACTAAAGTAATACTGCGAGTTGAGAAGCGTTGCGTTCTGGAAGTGGATCGGAACCGGATAGCAGCGCAGGATCTCCGCAGTTCCTCTGCGCTGCCTGCGGGGGCGCTCCTCCTCCACCACCACCTGGTACTTACTGCAGACAGACAGGTGGAAGACATCACTTAAAAAATCAAAGCGTGTCATTTTCTGAAGAACACTTAATATGATATAATGCAGATTATACTATTATATTATTATTACTCTCTTATTTTTTATTTTGTCTATTATTATATTTTTACCTACTACTTATTACTGCTGCTTCTGTATTGTTGTTTTTTGAGTATGTGTATGTATCTTGTGTGCACTGTCCACTCTCCCGCCGCGATCCTGTGAATTTCCCCATTGTGGGACTAATAAAGGAATATCTTATACATTATAGAATTGCTAGTTGGGTCTGATGGGCTGCTATCGAACTGTTTATCCACATGCATTGTGGGAATTTCATTTCTTCAAACATTTAGATCAATCAGTTTAAATGTGTGTCTCAACAACTACTTAATGGAAGTGAAATAAATCCTTTAAAAGTCCAACATGCAAAATGAGTAGCATTTGGATGATAAGACTATAGCACCATAGTACAATAAGGTGCACGTCGGTTTATGGAGATAAAAGGACATTACATGATGATAGATGAAGGTTCTAGATCTGATATTAATAATCTGGACATTGTAGCAGTTTTCAGATTTCAGAGCATTGACGCTCTTAGTTTGTTTGAGGGACAGTTGGATATTATTGAAAAGGTTTTTGTGCACATAAAAAGCTGCTCTGCCTCTCCTCCATCTGTTGGTTCATTATTCAGCTCCACAGAAAGGTCAGCTCTGCCTCTCCTCCATCACTCTGTTCATCTTTATCAACTCGCTGTGCATGTGGAGGCTGTAACTTCAGATCAGTCTGACATTAAACGGATAATTCATTCCATCTTTTCTGCAGGTAGTAAATCCTAAATGTCTCGAAAGGACATGAAGACAGACAACTAATAGAAAGACGTCCAATGAAAAATTGTCTATTTGTTCGTGAACTAATTATAATTGAAAAAAAAAATCCTGTTCAAGAGTTGTGCTGCGAGCTCAGAAGTTTTAAAGGACGGATAAATACCAGCTATGTCTGTGTCTGACAAAGGATCAACCCACAAATAATGTCTGTTACCATGGTGATGTAAAGCTTCAGTGGGGCTTCAATCTGCTGAGAAGAAAAGATACTGACTCTTCAAAATAAAAATAAATCTATATTGACTCTACATGAACTCTACTGACTCTACGTAAACTCTACTGACTCTACATAAACCTCACTGACTCTACATGAACTCCACTGACTCTACATGAACTCCACTGACTCTACATGAACTCTACTGACTCTAAGTAAACTCTACTGACTCTACATTAACTCTACTGACTCTACATTAACTCTACTGACTCTACATGAACTCTACTGACTCTAAGTAAACTCTACTGACTCTACATTAACTCTACTGACTCTACATGAACTCCACTGACTCTACATGAACTCTACTGACTCTACATTAACTCTACTGACTCTACATGAACTCTACTGACTCTACATGAACTCTACTGACTCTACATGAACTCCACTGACTCTACATGAACTCTACTGACTCTACATGAACTCTACTGACTCTAAGTAAACTCTACTGACTCTACATTAACTCTACTGACTCTACATTAACTCTACTGACTCTACATTAACTCCACTGACTCTACATGAACTCTACTGACTCTAAGTAAACTCTACTGACTCTACATGAACTCTATTGACTCTACGTAAACTATATCGACATACACAAACTCTTCAGACTCTATACATACTCTACTGACAACATGAAAGCTTGATGAAAATCTTAAAAGGTCTAAAGGATTCTCCAGGTGCTTCATGCACCCTGCAGACATATTGAGACCAAAGACAAGCCAGCAGAAGGCGACATATGTTTTGTTGTCCACACTGACTTGTGTGTGTTCGGATTCATACGCACACAGTGTTCTGAGCCTGAGCCTCACACACACCTCACAGTAGCTGAACGCAGCACAGAGAGCTTTCATCAGCGTTTGAGTCTCGGGGGAAACGTTAGAAACAATAGTTGAATTTCTCCCTGAAACTAGAATTTGGACAGCAGTCATATATCACACACACACACACACACACACAAACACCCACACACACTCACACACCCACATACAAACACACACACATATGGTGGGTGTGGACGGTGAAACTGCCGTATTGTGGTATTTTCTGCCCAACATGAAACCAAAGGACGACAGGAAGACGGACATACTCTGTAAAACATACAAACGCACAAACACAAACAAACACACACACATGGACTTACACACACTCATACACACAGTATCTGTATTGTTTTAATACCCCGCAGAAAAGAGCAGAAAAGCGAAAGATTCAATCATTCCTTCATTCTCACCATTTCTTTTCTCTCTCATCCACCTCACTTCTTCTCTCTCTCTTTTCATGTCTCTCTATTTCTTTCACAAACCGTCTGCAATCACATTTCTTCACGCTCATACTGCAGCACTGTATGTGTGTGTTTGTGTGACAATAATCTGATTACAGCTGCAGGTCGCTAGCGGCAACACCTTTTGTTTTATTTGAGGCTCCTATAAATGAGTGTGAGTTGTACATTGTGTGTGGGTGTTGTTGTGCCCAAGGGGCGAAACTGTCAGAAGAGACAAAAGCAAAGTTAAATATAAATACACACAAACATTGTTTGTATCTCCAAGCAGCATCTGTTCAGTCTGATGGATTTTACAAAAACTATCATGTCAATTAACACACACGTTCTGACACAAACAGACAAACAAACTCACACACAGAGACACACACAAATACATAGACACACATACACACCTCTTCTTCTTGCATAAAAAGAAAACCATAAATGTCAGATCCACTTGAAATCATCCATTTTTTTGTTGTCATCCATAAGTGTGTCGACATGTGTTTTAGGGCACCTGAACGTACTACCAGCTGCGTGTTTGTTCTATTATACGTCTTTGTACCACTGAAAAGTGGATTAAGCGTCACATGTTGATGGACTCAAACAGTCTTCGACTACAAACAATAACAGAACAAATCTCTGGTCAGAAAAGATGGCCGACGTGTAAGCGTTAAAAACTTCTCACCCTCCATTCTCATCTCTCAGAAAGTGTACTCAACTTTTCAACTTTATTCTTTTGATAATTCCTAGTTCTACTCCAATCCATCTACGAGGTAAATATAGTCATCTTTAAAACCAATCCATTAATACATGTGATGTTTTATCTTTAAAATCAGCTCTTACACCACAAAACCCCCAATTAACTACTAACTAGCCCCTGAACTTTAAATAACCACTAATTTACTAGAGGAGTGCTGGAGAAGGTAGTTGCTTCTCAACTTCAGGTCCACCTCAAACACAACAGCAGAGCTGAATGTGTCTCACTGGGAAGATGCAGTCCAGACTGCTGCCTGTCTCCTCCTCGGTTGTATAATCAGCTGACATAGGACGTCCTTCCACTGTTATGCTGACGACACACAGCTCTACATCAAGACTGTCTCGAACCCCTCTGCAGCCATGTCATGTCTCACCGCTTGTCTTGATGGGAGATAAAGGCGTGGATGAGCAACAACTTTATCCAGTTAAACAGTAAAGCAAAACCAAAGCCTTTCTGGTTGGCACTCCACACCAGGTTCAGTCATCCGCCATTATCCATCTCACCTTTGACAGTCAGGTCATACCCTTCTCCTCCACAGTTACCAATCTGGGAGTTAGGTTTGACCCTCACCTGACCTTTAATGATCAAATAAAAAAACTCCGCCTCACTTTGACCCTGTCAGATGCAGAGAAGTTCATCTGAACAGGATATCAACAACATCCAATACTGCAAAACATTCAAAAAGGGGCTGCCAGGATCCTGATGGGAGGGAAGATGAGACCATATCAACAAATGTTCGGCATGAAGCACGCAACACAGCCTTTTTGACTCTGCACTGTCCTTTGATGCTCGGGTTACCAAAGTTGTGCACATCTGCTTCGCCCAACTGAGACCATTAAGGATCAGGTCTGTCCTCTCACCTGCAAACCTGGAAGGAGGCATCCATGCGCTTATCTCGCTGGATTATTGAAACACAATTTATTCTGGCATTAGCAGGCGTAACATTCAGAGACTACAAATGATATAGAATGCTGCTGCCAGGCTTTTAACCCTTTCAAGGAGAAGCGACCACATCACACCAGTCCTTGCTGCTCTCCACTGGCCACTGACAGCTTGTATCTTATTTATTATAAATTGCCTGATTGTATTTTGTATAACTCAGGTAAGTATTGTTATGCACTTGGTAACGTTGTTTGGAAAGGTGCTACATAAATGATATGTTATGTTTATAACATCCATCCCACTCTCACTACACTGGCTCCCTGTCTCATTCCAGATGTACCACAAAGTCCTCCTACCCAGCCATCAATGCATCAATAGACATGCACCTCCCTACCTACAAGAACTCATTACTCCTCAGATCTCCACCCGCCCCCCCAGATCCACAAGCTGCTCGCTCCTCCAGGTCCCCAACATCAAGTTCCACCCCAAGCTCTGCAGCTTGGCCGACCATCAGGGCAGCACAGACAATGTCTTTTTACTCTTGTGTTAAGTTTTTACTATGTTTTTATTTGAACTATTCCAATATTTGTTTAAATAAAATAGTAATTACCAATACAATATTTTTATTGTAATTATTACTAGTAATGAACCTGTATCTAACAAGTTATGAACCTGTAAGAAACATGTACCGAACATGAAAATAACCCCTAACATGTAACTAACCCATAACCAACCCATAATTACCCTGTAACTAACCAAAAACCAACCACAATTGAACTTGTAACAAACCTCTTGTGTGTGTCTCTCTCTCCGTAGGTGTGTGTGTGTGTGTGTGATTGACACATTAGCTGTTAATCCCTGGTGTTAGCACCAGCCTTTGATTAGCGCCGCCTGCTGATGGTTAATTAACTGAATACCCAGTTACGGCTGTTGACATGACAACTGTTACTGTGGTAACTTCCCTCCCACCACACAGTTTGATATCCTCATGTAAACATTCAAAGGACAGTAACAATGTCGGATTATTTAAATCTCATACAATCAAAGGTTGTTATTAATATTATCATTAGTAATTGTCTTTTATTTAAGATAATTATCTGTGAAATAACAAATAGGTGAGAAGTTAATTACAACATATAGATTCCAGATTTTAAAAGCGTTTATTTTTTTAGTATTTGAGCAATAAGGTACGAGAGGCTGTACTTTATCGTCCAATACTGTAACAGTTTGGGGGTGTTGTTAGGCCCGACGCATTATTATTATTATTGAAGATAAAAGTACTGCCTCAAGTACCTTATTGCTTTTATAATACGGTTACCAGCGAAATTATAAATAGTAAGTAAATTGCTGCCTTTCAGTACAAAATAGTCTTGGCCACCAAACATTTCAGTAGTCTAGAGAGAAAATAGTCCCCGTACGTGCAGGTAAACAGCATCGGGTCTCCTTGCAAGATCGCGCAGCATCTCATTCATTCACACCGCTCATGACGTCCGGCTAAATTGTCCGCTAGCGAAAGCTCTCATTGCCCAAACCGATCAAACCGATCAAACCCATCAAACCGATCATTTGTGGGATTTCTGGTCTTTTTCTGGCGATCGTCACCGAAAAACTGAAATGTCAACTAACGGTCGCGCAAAATCTAACTGTCATTGTGAGTGTGCAGTGATACTGAACGCTCGGGTCAATGTGAACAGGTGCTGTACATCATCTCTGAGTAATACCCCCCCCACGACTCACTCCCAACCAATCAGAACGCTGGATTTCATCTACCCGTATTATAATAGTTATAGTATAATAGTATAATAGTTACATATGATGTGTGTAGTGTTAATGTGTGTGTCTGTGTGTGTAGTGCTGATGTGTGTGTTACCTGACTGGAGCTCCTCTGCTCTGAGCCGGTTTCAGTAGAATTGTCACGGAGGAGTCGGTTTGATTCATAGGAGACTCGTTATCATAGGCTGGCATCAGAGGAGCTGAGGAGGAGGAGGACGAGGAGGAAGAGGTGGTGGAAGAAGAGGAGGAGGACGTGGAAGAGGAGGGGAATAGGAAGAAGAGGAGGAGGAGAATTAGGTGTTATGCTACATTCTTTAATCCTTTTCTCAGCACTATGTAGAATATTCATATTTTGGAACGTCCTTGTGGCTTGATCGGAGTAGAATCTAATATAAGACACTTCACAGGACGTCTCTGTATTATTGATTAACGTCTAGCTATTGATTAGGGACTCTGTATTGATTAGGGCTCCGAGTGGGATGTTCTGGGGCACTCACCTGAGATCTTGGTGGTGAACTGGGTGATGACCGGAGACCCGAAGCCTTTGACGGTGGAAGCTCTTATTGTGAAGGAGTAAGTGGAGCCCGGGTAGAGCCCACTGAACACGTGGCTCGTATCATTGGCCGGTTTGAATACCTTCCCACTCTGATTGGACAAGTCGAACTCTGTGTCGAAGGAGCTCAAGGCTTTGTAGGAGACCTGAGGAGAACCACGTACTCGTTGGAATGACGTATTCGTTAAGAACATGTCCCAATGCAACAGACGGGACAGATGTGGATGGGACAGACGGAGAGGACAGATGTTGAGAGGACATATAGATACAGATGTGCTGTACCTCGTACTGCCGGATGAGGCCGAAGGTCTGCAGTGGTTCTCTCCAGCTGAGACTGATCTGCTGCTCGTAGCTGCTGCCGAGGACGGAGTCCACCGGGACGGCTCCAGGCACTGAGGCCGAGACATTTATTAATTGACTTTTACTCTTTGGCGAGTTGGACAGAGACTTTAAAGTTGTCTTTCGTACCGTCCTCGTCCGTAAGCACCAGCAGCTCCTCGCTCTCCTTGCGTCCCTCTGGGTTGCTGAGGACGAGTCTCAGGCTGATGTTGGTAAAGGGCGGGATGCTCCGTACGATGTGCTGTGGGACGGAGCTCACGGTGTCGTACACCACCTCCTCCTTCACTGACTCGCTGCAGGACCACGTGACGGGTTTAGAGTCATCGATGTCTTTACCTGGTGTCAGTTGTTGTCTGTACCCATGTCCTCCCTGTGCCCCCACGTCTGTCCCGGGTCTACCTGCTAGCGGTCCCTGCTGGTCGGTAGTGGTACTGCACCGTCAGGTTGTAGCTGTGGCAGCGGGTCACGTTGTAACCGAACGGTTCCCATCGGAGCGTCAGCTGTTTGGACTGAATGTCCACGACCTCCAGACGCCGCGGGCCCTGCATCGGATCTGGAGACACAATGAACCTCCATCATCTACGTGTGACATCTTTCGAGGCTCTGACATCATCCTGTGTCTCTTTAAGTCCAGCGTTAAGTCCAGTACCCAGGACTGTGATGGACAGGGTCATGTGATCCACAGGGTCATGTCATTTACTGGTGCGACAGACAAAGTGAGGAAAAGAAGTTGAACTGAATGGAGACAGAAGAAGATAAAAGAACACAGTCACACACACACACACACACACACACACACACACACACACACACACACACACACACTCTGTCTTTGTAGTGGCCAATCTAAGTGCTGTATTTCAAGATGACAGACAGCGATCCACTCAGAGAGAGAATGATAGATGAGAGCAGGAAGGAGCAATTTCTCCTCTCCAACCTGTGTGTGAGGGTGTGTGTCTGCTTGAGTGTGTTTGTGTGTGTTTCAAGGGTTTTTCTTCAGCCAATGAACAATAGCTTTCTTGTTCTTTGTCGGGTTTCATGTTTTTGAGCGTGTGTTTGATTGTGGCTGAAAAGAAACTTCCTGTTATTGGGTTAGACACACATGCACACAGAGACGCACACATACACACATGTAAGGTTTCAGCAGGATACAATAAAGCCACTTGTAAGTTTCTCCACCTCCATTGTTGAATGACGTTGAGCTAAATAGAGGAAACACACACACGTGCACACCGCACACACACACACACACACTGAGACCTCCGCGCAGAAACAATGGGGTGGTGGGTCAGAGGGGGGGGAGGGTGTAGGTGACTGATGTGGATTCTATTACCCATAATCCCTGAAGAGAGAGAACCCTATCACATAAAATCCTACCACTCCCCCTATGTGTGTGTGCGTGCGTACATGTGTGTGTGTAGTTGCCATGGTTCCATCCCATCATTTTTCAGCTGACATTTAAATCAGACACCAACATAGAGCTGATGATGTCATCAGGTATTTTCCATCAAAACATTAAAGTACAAGGAACTACTCAAGGTCATCTTCCTTTTTGGTGTGGAGATGAATATGAGGAGGATGAGGAAGATGGAGCAGGACTATCTCTGGAGATTACATTTTCATGGATGGTGGTTTCTTAGATGAAGACAATCAAGTGTCTGACTAAGGTCCTCGTAGGTCATCAGTGGGGTCAGCGTTAGCTCAGTGGAATGCTATCATTAGCATTAGCTCAGTGGTTGTCAGTGGAATGTTAGCATTAGCATTAGCTCAGTTGTTGTCAGTGGAATGTTAGCATTAGCATTAGCTCAGTTGTTGTCAGTGGAATGCTAGCATTAGCTCAGTGGTTGTCAGTGGAATGTTAGCATTGGCATTAGCTCAGTGGTTGTCAGTGGAATGTTAGCATTAGCATTAGCTCAGTGGTTGTCAGTGGAATGCTAGCATTAGTGTTCAGAAACACAGTAAAATGAATAAATGGATAAAGTGCAGAAGGAGAAGTAAAATGTTTTTAGGGCGAGCAGAGCGTGAAGATCTGAGGTGAAAAGAGAAAAAAGTGAAATATTGATATGCTTTTTTTTAAAAGCCTTGACAAACACCACACACACTTTAATGGATGTTAACACACATACACACACACACACACAGAAACGTGTTTTTATCTTTTATGACCAATGCTGACCTCGCTGAGAGAAACTCTCCTCATTAATATTTAATCAAAAGTCTCGGAAATAAAAGTAATTTTACTTCCTTGCGTTACCATGGTTTCTGTAATAATGTCGAATCACAGATCAATAACTAACAACAGAGAACACAATCTGTGTTCTAAGGATTATATTATATTTATATATATTTGCGTCAATAGATTAAAAAACAAGAAGTAATTTTTTCATAATTTGTTAATAGCGATTAAAGGTTTGTTTTTCTCCTAAAGTCAAAATCTCATATGTAACGAGTAATCACTTTAGAAAGCGGGAATTTCAGACACTTGTTTAATTGTAATTGTTTAAAAACAAACTGCAGTTCTTCTGTTTGTTATACTTCCAATGCGAAAAGCATCTCCATCTTCCGTCTCGCTGTCTCCATCTAACTGACTGCAGCACGTGGCGGCTTCAGGGGTCAGGGGTCAACGCATATATATATTTAGATGCGATCTTTGATTTGGGTCAAAGTTGTTTTATTATTCTAATTATGATAATGATTGTGTTTATTTGTTTTACTGTTGTTAATATTATTATTCTTTAAATGTAATATCATAGTTCTTTCTTTAGTATAAATGTGACTTTGATGACAGGCCATCCTGAATAAAGCATGATGAGACTTTCTGTTTATCTGCCACCACGTGAGTCGCCTCACTAAGCTCTAAGTCTTAAAGCTTGTTTGATGGACAAAATGATTCATTATTAAACATAAACACACACCCATACAGACACACACACACAAACAGAAACTGGTTTATAATTTATGGGAAGTATAATGAATAAATAAAAGTGAGTTAAAGACAAATTATCAGAGCGAACATCATCAGACTGTGTGTGTTTGTGTGCGTGCGTGTGTATGTGACACACTGGGCTTTGCTTGGCTAAGCTGTCAATCACACACACACACACACACACACACACTTCTTCATGTTTCCTGCTGTTGATCGCAGAGGAGCGTTTGTTTTGATCTGCTGATAGTCCCAGTGGGGCGGAGGTTTCAACAAAGGAACAATCACACTGACACACTTATTCTGTTATAAATCCCAATGAATTCACCAAGGAAAAGCAATGGACCTCCAAAACACATGGAGCATCACACCAAATGACACTAGAACCACATCAAGGACTAACAGATTCTCATAATGTCAAAGTTTTATTGTGAAGATTACGACATCACATTTTCTTCTTAACCCTAACCCTAACCTAACCTCACTGCAATCTCAGAAACGCTGACACAAATAAAAACTCTTTAGATCAAATAGAAACTCTTCAGATCTAGAACCACATGGATGACCTAATTGGATTTAAAAACGGCAAATTTTGCTGAAAAGCAGGTATGCAGGGTAGGAAATGTACCAGGGGCATTTTATAAGAAATTGTGGGCATTTTTTAACTTTTTTTTGAAAAATAATGAATATACATATTTGGGCATAATGTATATGTAATTGTCATCAAATGGCAGTAATAAGCATATTAGGCAGTAGTCTACATATTGTGGGTTTTCTTGGATGTTTTGAATCAAAACAAACAGAAAACATGAATCAGACTCATTCAATTTTATTTTTATTTCTTTGTAGTTTCTTGTGTTTAGCAATATGTGAAGCAATGTCAAACAGCTTGACCATTCTGCAGAACGCTGTCTTTGCATCCGATTCACAGCTTCCACAGTTGTCTCTCTGCTATTTAGCTGATTACTCCACGCTTCTGTAAAAACAAAAAGAAAACATTTGCACCTCGAGTCAACTGCAGTCTCAACTAATTATATTTTACCCAAATAGAGGATTCTCTGTTAACCAAAGGATGTCAGTAACTGAGAAGGGAAACATCTCTCGCTGACTGCACTCTGGCTAACATTAGCTAGCTGGCTAGTCAGAGCTAGCCAACATTAGCTAACTAAATCATTTCAAAATAATGAATACTTTGTTATTACTCACCGTAGGCGGTGGTATGTTGCTCGGCCGTCTGGTGAAGAAAGGACACGTATTTCTTAATGTCTTCGCTCCACTTGACGAAGTCAGCGGAAGAATTTGCCGGTGCTGGTTGACAACGACGTTGGTAGTTCGTTGTCGGCACGTGTGAGTCTCTCGGGAGGCTTCAAAAAACTGCGGGTGGTTATCTTGTCTTCCTCCACGCCAAGCTAATCTATCTTCCATTGTCCGATGGTCGATGGGTGCGTAGAATTTTTCTTTTGAACCAGAGACGGTGACAGAAGCTGGATTCGCTCTCCCGCATGCACAGGTCTGATTAAGAAGCACGCCATTCTTTTAAGAACGTAACCCAACATCAGTGAAGGCGATGTTTATGGCCGCATTTTTTGCCCCTCTCCCAGTTATATTGAGGGCTAAATTATATTTTTAGGGGCAATCTTTAATAATCTTAACCGACGCTGCAGGTAACTGATTTGATACTTGGAACAACATTGAATATATTAAATATATATTAAAATAACAATAGATGTGTATCTTAACAATTTAAAAAGTATTATTGTATTCATTTTGTTATTTTCATTTTAGGATTTAGGTATGTGTGGTTGGAGGTCTCTGGGGATGAGGGGTTGTGTAGCTGTGTTTCCATGACAACTGAGGGGGTCAGTAACCTGAGAGGCGCTGAAGTCGTGTTGCAGCAGGTCTAAGAAGAGGCGTGTTGAGACCTGACACAGTTCTGTCCTCTAAGAACAGACCTGGGATCTGCAGTATTACACAAAAGTCATGGTCATTTAAAGATTACAATTTTCTGTGCAGCTCGAATCATTTCATTCAAGTAAAAATAATAATATTACTAATAACTATAATGTGTAAAAGCGAAAGTTGAAACAATTTATGAAACATAAATGTTTGAGAAGATACAAACTGTAATTATGTTTTAATATATTCGTGAATGTCAAAATGCATTAGTTTATCTTTTTAACACAGTATTGTTTTTATTATTTGTTTGTTATTGGTTTAAAAGCTGTGTCCCGTGATATCTCGTGGATATTGATGTAAACTTGACAAAACCAACATACACATAATATAAATAAAAATTATAACAGACATCTGAATCATTGATTATGAATAACTCATTTAAAGCTTGGTTAATTGCGAAGAAGAGAAAACTGCAGCAGCAGTCAGATTGTTGCACCTGTGTAATTAGCACACAATTTCCTAATCAAATGCTGTTTGTTTGCACCCACGGGGCACGCACATAAACACACCAACACACACACAAAGCATTATGTGTGTGTATTCAGTCAGGAGATGAATGAGATAAACAGCTAGCACGCCATGTTGATGTGGATACTGCAGCCATTAGGAGCTAATGAGCGCAGCGCTAACGAGTCGTAGCCCGACTCCCTGCTTTAATGAATTTAAGATTAGCTATTAGCCACCTGATGAGTTCAGCACGAAGGCAGGCTAGCACAGCATGCTACGCTAACAACCCTGCCATTAATGACATCAGTGTGGGTGTAGCAGCGGCACATGGCACACGAGGTGAGCTCATGTGACCTGACTCACCTGCACACTTGGTCCTTGCTCGGAGGGTTGGTCCAGGATATCCGGTGCCTCCCTCCAGAGGCCTGGTAAGCAGCACGCTTATCTCGTACTGCGTGTCGGGGTCCAGGTGTCCAATCTTGTGTGTGGGCTTATCGACGGGCGTGGTGTCGATCAACATGCCCGACAGTGTCCGGTACTCCACCTGAGAGACAGATATGTGATGATGATCCACCTAAGAGACCCATTACGAATGAGTGGACCCTAAAAAAGATCTCTAAAGGAACATTTAACCTCATTCCAGACCAAGAGACGCCACAAAGACCTTTAGGAACATACTAATACCAGATCAACATCTCATCAATAGTCACCTCTCTCTCAATGATCGGCCCGTCTCCATTGATAGAGTTGGCGTTAAGTTGGATCCACAGATAGGTAGCACCCACCGCCGTCAGCTGGGGAGGGGCGATCGGTACTGGGGGCTCTAAAAGGCAGACAGGACCAGGATCAGCTTCTCTCTCTCTCTCTTACACACACACACACACACAAGACACAACACACACTTACACACACTGACCAAGCTGATCTCTTATCGAGGCAGGAAGAAGGTAACAAGTTAATTAATATTGGTGACCTTCGGCGAATCGCAGGAGAACTGAATTCCATTACCCAGAAGCCCTTGTGGTCCTGCTCTCTATCCTCCTGACCCACTTCCCCATACATACACACACACAAAGTAAATAGGATAGGTGTGTGACAATGCATGTTTATTGTCTATTGCTCAGGTTGATGCTCACCTGTGTGTGTTTCATACGCACACGACACAGTTTGAGTGACAGTTTAATCAGGGGTTTAGCCGCTGGGGATTGTGGGATATGTGTCGGGTCATGTGGCCGACAAACACCTCCTCACCTGTCACTGTGTGTGTGTTTGCAGAGAGATCAGATGAGCTCTCGATCTGACTATCTCTGACACACACACACACACACACACACACACACACACACACACATAACAACACACGTATAAACACACACACACACACACACAAAACATACATACAACCACTCACACACTCAGACACACACACAGACCATATGAGATAGATATGAGGATCATATGAGGATCACAAGGAACCATACAAGGTACATATGAGGAATGATATTGGGTACATACCACATGAGGATCATGAGGAACCATATGAGTAACCATATGATAATCACAAGGAACCATACGAGGTACATATGAGGAATGATATTGGGTACATACCACATGAGGATCATGAGGAACCATATGAGTAACCATATGAGGATCACAAGGAACCATACAAGGTACATATGAGGAATGATATTGGGTACATACCACATGAGGATCATGAGGAACCATATGAGTAACCATATGAGGATCACAAGGAACCATACAAGGTACATATGAGGAATGATATTGGGTACATACCACATGAGGATCATGAGGAACCATATGAGTAACCATATGAGGATCACAAGGAACCATACGAGGTACTTATGAGGAATGATATTGGGTACATACCACATGAAGATCATAAAGAACCATATGAGTAACCATATGGAGGAACACAAGGAACCATAGGAGGTTATGAGCAATCATATACGGTACATATGAGGAACATCTGAGGAAACATATATTTATGAGGAAAATAAAAGGAACACAGCCGCTAACACAAAAACTTTGGTTCTGATTCACACATTTGTCATGTTTTATGGTTGTTTGTCTCCAGTAAATCAAATCTGAAATACAACTATAAAGATTTGTACATGTAGAAACAGAACAAAAGTGAAATATAAGAGTCAGATAAGAGACACCAGAGGCATTGGAGCTCCATGTGGAAATGAAACGTAATTAGAACTTGAAACATTCCGTAGAAATTTTGAGAGTGGCAGAGACTGCCCAAAGATGTCGCGATTTCTACCCCTTTGGTAAATAAAGTAAATCCAGTAGTTGATTGTGAGCACTTCATTATTATCTAATCTGACCACATACTATATAAGCAGCGATCGGACCAAGTAGAAATACCAAAAAGGAAAAAAAAAAAAAAACATCTCAGAGAATAAAAGTACCTGAGCACAATCAATACAGGGGGTAAACTAGCTGGCTAACAGCAGCTCAGTATATAACAGAGACAGGCAACAGAGAGTTTTGAGGTTTTAAGTAGGGCTGTCAATAGATTAAAACCTTTTTAAAATACATTCTGTGAAGCAAAGACATAGCTGAAGGTCCACCCCCAGGACTTTTGCTTTAAGTAGATGTATTTCCTGCATTCTAGTGGATTTTTGGGTGGTATGCTAAAGATGTGCAATACTTGAACTTATTCTGATTCATGTTCATCTGATCATGACTTGAAGGCCTTCTAGAGATGAACATTTAACCAGAAAACTAGTGTTGTGCCTCAATGACTGTCAATGTGCCACAATAAAGCCTAATAGAGTTCTATTGTTTGAGATTTTGATCGAGATAGGTTGATTGACATTTTGATTACAATAGTATTCAACCAATTCTTAACTAAAACCTAACATATATTGTTAATAAGTGTATTCTTAAGAGCACTTCATGATTTATGTTCAGCAAAAATGACTAGTTTAGTTAGGAGATTAGTTAGGAAGAAATAATTATCATTATTCAAAACCTCCCACCACACGTTCCATCAAACAGAAAAGTGCAACAAATAAAGTGCTTAAACAGTAGCATTTTTAGCAATACAATGGATCAACAATAAAAACAAGGTATCAGATGCAGATAAGAAGTTAGTTAGTCATTTTCTGGGATCCCAGTTTGGAAAAGTCTTCAGGGTGAGTGATTTTCTTTCAAATGTATAGTCACTTGGGTTCCTAAAGTCAGATTTTCAGGACCAAGACAAAATGACCAAACTTACCAAAGATTTCAAGGTCCTCTATGATGTCTGATAGAGTGTGCTCTGCTTTGCAGTCCACACTCTATTAGATCAATATCAGTCATAGCAGTCAAAATAAAGGTGACACAATCAAAGTGAACAAAATGAAAGTAATATAAATGTGAAAATATTGGGTCAGACTAAATGTTACTGGGACCAGTTCCAGAGACTTAAATATCAATACACAGTCAGTCAGTAATAAATTCACACTATCACTGATCAATACATACAATCAGCAATGAATACAAAATATCAGTAATCAGTACACACTATTAGTAATCAATATGATCAGCAAAGGAGCAAGAGAGGAATTTGTCCCCTGCGTCTCTCTGAACAGATCGGCATGCTGGGAAGTCATCACCCGGCAACCCACTTGGTTTAACAAGTCATCATTAACCTGAGTGAGTGTTAGCGGCAAGTTAGCGCGCTAGCGCTTTGACAGGAGGAATAGGAGGCTTTTATTTTGAAATGATTCATCTTCATACATGCAGAAACTCTTTCAAAAAACCCAGTGATTTTCCATTTTATACTTCTAATGAGGAATCTCATACACACACACACACACACACACACACACACACACACACACCGTAAAACAGTAATGATGTGCATAGCTTTAATAAAAGGGTTCCCCGTATGACAACTGAATAATTCAAATAATAATATGACAAACTGCTACTTTGATCTGAAGGATTGAGAGAGAGGAAGACATTGAGAGAGAAAGACTAAGACAGGTGGAGGGAAAGAGAAGGAGAGGGAGGGAGACATGGAGAGAGAGAAAAGGGAGAAAGGAAGACATTGACAGAGAGAGTGAGACAGGGAGAGTGTGAGAGACAGACAGACAGGGAGAGACAGAGACAGAAAGTGAGAGATGACTAGGGGCTGGCTCAGGTTCTCCTTGAACCAGTCCTTAGTCATGCTACCTTGGTAGCTAGTTAGGTCTTAAAAACAAACATAAGAGAAAATAATATCAATCCTAAAAATTACATTACACCATTCTGCAGCCAATCAGACGACCGGACTCACGTTTGACTGTGAGGTCAGCGTAGGAGGATACGGCAATGCCTCGTTCTGAATGGGCGATGCAGCGATAGCGTCCAGAGTCGCCTTTGGTTGTGTTCTCCACGTCAAAGGTTGCCGTGTAACGCCGAGAGTTCATCAATTTGGTTTCCCTGACAACCGCCTGGCGACCATCCATCCCCTAGAAACAAAAAAACAAAATATATATACATTACATGATTCATTTAGCTGATGCTTTTATCCAAAGTGACGTACAATTCAACCTGAGGGGAATAGAACCAGAAAAAACGAGAAAAAAGGAAGCACAATTTCCAGAGCCAAACTACAAAGTGCTGTAAGTAAGTGCTACTTAGTCCAGGTATAGTGAGTTGAGGTGATACCTGGGGCAGCCAGAGTGAGTAGAGGGGCTACCTAGTCCAGGTATAGTTTGTAGAAGTGCCTCTTAGTACGGCTGTGTGGTATACCCTTTCAACCGGGATACCGGCATAAGATTTTCTTACCGTATGAATATTTTCCGTATCATCATACCGATGTCAAGCCGCTACAACTGCTGTTGCTCTTTGGCAGGCAGCAGGATTTATTTTTACTCCTCATCGCTAGATGTAATACTTGTCTTACGTGTATTGAGATTGAGTCATGGTTATAACTTTAAAACAACAATGAATAACCCGCACAAACACTCTTAAAAAGGGTAAACCACCACGAAACAGTGTGTGATACAAAATTAATTTGTAACACTAATAATTGTACATTTATAAAATTACCCCACCGAATTGCATACTGGGTACAGCTCACCCGCTATCGCAAGACAAAGTAACTCTATCACTTCCTGAAACCACGGAAAACCGATGCCGGTGGACCAACGAAACCAGAGATGCGGCAACACAACTTGTGCCCATGAGATAAGCTGTGTGCGGTTTGGAGGGTTTCTGGTTTCGAAAAGTCCCACGTAAAGCAAGGTTATATCAGAAAACAAAAGTTACGTATGTAACTACGGTTCTATAATTCCTGGATGACCGCCAGAGGCAGTGCTTCACACTGGATCATCTTTTGTCTTGAGTCTTTCTACAAACACCTGTGACCCCGGATGACCCACCCGGCATGTAGGCTCTGGGGGTGGGGGCGACGATTGCCAGTGGCAGGTTGTCTAGGGGAGGGGTAGGTGGGATTGTGCCGGCCTTGTAGCGGGATGCCCAGGCCTGTAGCGGCTACTGGGGCGAGCTGGGGGCTGAGAATGGCTTTGGGGGGGCAAAGCAGGCCTGTTCCTATTAAGTTCCAAGAATTGTTGCCTGCTCCAGCTAGCGTCAAGAGTCCGCTAAAGCACCTGTGTAGCGGCTGACCCAAACAGCTACCCGGGTTCCACTGAAACGGTACGGAGGACCTTCCTACAGATCCTCCTGCAGATTCGGTCAGGTCTTTTAAAGTAAAACTTAAAACTTTCCTCTTTGATTCTGCCTATAGTTAGGGCCTTTTTTCCCTCTTGGAAGGTTTTTTTCATTTTTTGGGGAGTTTTTCCTGTGCCGATGGTGGGTTTCGGGGCCGAGGATGTCGCATGTGTACAGACTGTGAAGCCCTCTGAGGCAAATTTGTAATTTGCGATTTTGGAAGTCTGGGACAGTGCCAAAAGAGTGGCAGATCGGGGTGGTGGTACCCCTCTTCAAAAAGGGGGACCAGAGAGTGTGTGCCAATTACAGGGGTATCACACTACTCAGCCTCCCGGGTAAAGTCTACTCTAAGGTGCTGGAAAGGAGGGTTCGGCCGATAGTCGAACCAAGGATTGAAGAGGAACAATGCGGTTTTCGTCCTGGTCATGGAACAACGGACCAGCTCTTTACTCTTTCCAGGATCATAGAGGGGGCTTGGGAGTATGCTCATCCAGTCTACATGTGTTTTGTGGACTTGGAGAAGGCGTATGACCGGGTCCCCCGAGAGATACTGTGGGAGGTGATGCGGGAGTACGGGGTGAGGGGGTCCTTGCTTGGGGCCATCCAATCCTTGTACGCCCAAAGCGAGAGCTGTGTTCGGGTGCTCGGCAGTAAGTCGAAGGCGTTTCCGGTGGGGGTTGGCCTTCGCCAGGGCTGCGCCTTGTCACCAATCTTGTTTGTGGTTTTCATTGACAGGATATTGAGGCGTAGTCGGGGGGAGGAGGGTCTACAGTTCGGGGGGCTGCGGATCTCATCGCTGCTTTTTGCAGATGATGTGGTCCTGATGGCATCTTCCGTCTGTGACCTCCAACTCTCACTGGAGCGTTTCACAGTCGAGTGTGAAGCGGTCGGGATGAGGATCAGCACCTCTAAATCTGAGGCCATGGTTCTCAGTAGGAAACCGATGGATTGCCTACTCCAGGTAGGGAATGTGTCCTTACCCCAAGTGAAGGAGTTCAAGTACCTCGGGGTCTTGTTCACGAGTGAGGGGAAGATGGAGTGTGAGTTTGGGTGGAGAATCGGAGCAGCGGGGCCGGTATTGCACTCGCTTTACCGCACCGTTGTGATGAAAAGAGAGCTGAGCCGGAAGGCAAAGCTCTCGATCTACCGGTCAATCTTCGTTCCTACCCTCACCTATGGTCATGAAGGATGGGTCATGACCGAAAGAACTAGGTGACGGGTACAAGAGGCCGAAATGGGTTTCCTCAGGAGAGTGGCTGGCGTCTCCCTTATGGATCGGGTGAGAAGCTCAGCCATTCGTGAGGAGCTCGCAGTAGAGCCGCTGCTCCTTTGCGTCGAAAGGAGCCAGTTGAGGTGGTTTGGGCATCTGGTGAGGATGCCCCCTGGCGCCTCCCTAGGGAGGTGTTTCAGGCACGGCCAGCTGGGAAGAGGCCCCGGGGAAGACCCAGGACTAGATGGAGAGATTTTATCTCTGCACTGGCCTGGGAACGCCTTGGGATCCCCCAGTCAGAGCTGGTAGATGTGGCCCGGGAAAGGGAAGTTTGGGGTCCCCTGCTGGAGCTGTTGCCCCCGCGACCCGACCCGGGATAAGCGGTTGAAAATGGATGGATGGATGGATGGATTTTGGGCTCTACAAAATAAAATGAATTGAATTGAATTCCTACATGTTTCCGACAAGGGTGACTGCGCCAGCCAAACCTGGCGGCGAGTCTGAACCAGGCGTCTGACTTCCCTCGACATGAGGGCAAACGGCTGCAGTGAGGCGTCACTGAGGCTGGTGGTGGAAGCGTCAAGAGGAGCCTGATGCAGAGAGGCCGAGCATGAGGTGGAAAAGGGAGTTCCCAATACGCCCCATGTGGGCTGGAGCATCATAAGCCTTAGATAAAAGGTTGTCCGTGACCCGACATCGGGGTCGAGGGCGCCTAGCATTGACTATGGCGGGACAGAGCTGTGGTGTCCCTCCAGGATGCATGCAGTTCCCTCAGATATTCTTCTGAGGGAGGAACGGAAAAGGTTGCGGGGGCGGGAACACGCCTGAAGAAGGCACTTGCAAGCGGGGGCTCCGGCGGCTGCGTCTGGATTACAGACGCCATGGAGCTATGGACTGCTCCTTCCGACGCACTCTGCGCTGAAGAACAGGAACCAGGCCCATGAGTGTGGGAGAGACGCTCTTCACTGTACTCGGTGAAGACATTGGCTGACGCAGTTAGTGAGATAGCATCCGGGTGGGTCTGCAGCTTCGCCCCCTCCTGCACTATGATGGAGGTCCAGAAGAAGCAATTTCATTTGGGCTAGCTCAGTAGTCCGCAGATCCACTCTACAGGGCAGCCTGCTAGCCTTAGCCCTTTTTCAGGGAGCCCCCGTGGCCTTTGTGGCCCAGCGTTTGGAACGGGCAGGTTGAGCTGGATCCGGCTGCCCTGTCAGGGGGGAGGTCGCCTAGTGGCCTGCACTGCTCGAGGCATGATTCCCCAGCTCCTACATGGCTCCTCTGACAGACCCTCCCTCAGGTGCTTGAGACCAAGGCAAGAAGGGCAGAGGTCATGCCCATCCTCAGGCTGAAGGGGAGCCATACAGGTCCTACAGCTGGGACAGTGAGACATGGTCGAGTTCAATCAACTTAAGCAGAAGCGCTCTGCTGGATGTTACGAGGACTGGCAGTAAGAGAGGCTTCTAGGCTTCTCCACCTCGACAGCCGTAGCCAGTCTTGGGATCCCCCCCAGATAGCTTGAGCGGGAGAACTCTGCTACTGTGGGCAAAGGCCAGAAGAAAACAAGAGCGGTTTACAAATAATTGGAATCGATTTCACCGATTGTTGAGCTTGTTCAAGCTTGTTCAAGCTTAGCTATCAGAGCTACCTGCGCAGCGAGAAGAAATGATGAAATATGCAATGAGATTGCTCTCCGCCACACACATGTTAGCTAACATGCTAACTCGCCGGGCAGTTGCGAGCGCGATGGCTAGCGAGCGGTGAATAACGAGCAGTTCTGGCGTCTGTTTATTTACTTGAAAAAATAGCTGTTCACTGCTCGTTTTTAACCGCTGGCGGGCCAGTTGCGAGTGAGCGGCTAACAACAAAAAACAGCGGTGAGCGGCCGCCGTCCTTTTTCGGCGTCAATAAATGAATGTGTTTACAAAAATACCTTGATATACCGTGATACCGTCAGAATCGGTACAAAATACCGTGATATGGATTTTTGGCCATCCCGGCTAGCCCTACTACGTAGTCCATGTATAGTGGGTAGTAACTCATAGTAACTACTCATAGTAATACTACACAGAGTATGGAAACTACAAAGTGCATCCAAACTACTATGCGTTGAATGTTATTGATAAATATTGGCAATTACTGAGTAAAGTATTAATAGAGAGAATAGAATAAAGAATTGACAGATTTGAATACTTATTGATAAGTATAGATAATTAAGAATATATATTGATGGTTATTGATGAGTTATTACCTGGAGGTGGAGCAGCAGGTTGCTCTGAGGGCTCCCGTTAACAGTGCACTGAAACGCTGCCGTCTGTCCGGCGTTTACCTCCACGCCTTTAATGTGCAGGAAGTGTGGGGTGCTCACTGAGGATACACAAACACATGCACACATACACAAACACACAACAGGGGTCAAAGGTAACACACTGATGACCTCACCACCTCACTGACATTATTACATTACATTATATTACAGGTCATTTAGCTGACGCTTTTATCCAAAGCGACTTACATTACATTTTTGCCCGGGGAGCAATTAGGGGTCAGGTGTCTTGCTCAAGGACACTTTGACTTGGGACATAGGGCAGCCGGGACTCAAACCACCAACCTTGTGGTTCCCAGCGCACCCTCTCTACTCCACGACTGCGCCACGACGACCCCCGTCGTTACCGTGGCAACGCCTAACCTTTTTCTGCAAATATCTCAGCGATCCAGTCCGTAAATGCATTCTGGAGGATGAACTCTGTGTGTGTGAGTAGGTGTTTTTGTGAGTGTATGTGTACGACAACAACTGTGTATTTTTTTTCAACCCTTTTTTTATTTCTCCAGATCATTGGACAGTATCGGGGTAAAAACCTGCTGTGGGTAATTTCCGGTGAAAGATGTTTACTTGAGATTTAACAAACAAAACACACACATAGCACTCAGTGTGTGTGTTTTCTGCATTAAGTTGTGTATTTGTAACAAAGCAACATAAAATATGCGAGTCCACAGACTAGTAGAAAAAAAGACTGATGGATCAAAGTCCATGCTAATCAATTTATAGTTTAATGAGCTCCCCTGTCTCTATGCACACACATAGAGACCGACACACAAACACAGACACACAATAACTCTCTGACCTTGATTTTGCGATGCCAGCTGAACTTTAAACATTGTTATCCAATTAAGAAGCCAAACTTCGTTAACTAATTAGTAGAGGGTTGTATAAGGGGGAGGACCTATGAGTGTACTTACTGCACTGGTGTCCCTGCAGCACGATGTCCTTGATGGCCAGAACCCCTTTCCGACCAGTGCTGACCGCCTCGAACACCACCTGCCAGGGAGAGCACTATCAGCGCTGTGACACCAACAGTAGTACTATAGACAGCACTAGAAACAGAGGTAACGGTGGTAAGAATACCATAACAGTACTATTTGTCATGTCCGAGAAACGGTGTTAGTCAGGTTGTCTCATGTCTATGTGTCTCGTGATTTCCTGTTTTAATTTGAAAAATAACCTTCCTCTCGTTTCAGGTAACTTGCTGCTTCCCCCTGTGTGCCGGTCCGATTGCCTGCCCTGCCCCTGATGGTTTCCACCTGTGCCCTTACTCAGTGTGAATACATTGTCTGCGTCTTCCTTTGTCTTGTACCAGTTCGTGCCCCATGTCAGAGAACCAGCGTATTCCAGTGTCCATCGTCAAGCTTTACCACGTTTTTTGGACCTTGTCCTGGCTCGCCTTCTTTTTCAGCCTAGTATTTATTTTCTAGCTTTTTGTTCTTAGATTTAGCATAGGGCCTTTTTCCTCTACCAAGAGTGATTTTAAGTCAAACATCGTCTCCGGAGTCGTGCTTTTGGGTTCAGGGCCATTGTCCGCTGGTGACACTAGTTGAGACATCCATCCATCCATCCATCGTCAAACCGCTTATCCTGCACACAGGGTCGCGGGGGGGCTGGAGTCCATCCCAGCCAACTTCGGGCGATAGACAGGGTACATCCTGGACTGGTCGCCAGCCAATCGCAGGGCTACACAGAGACACACAACCATTCACACTCACATTCACACATCTACGGGCAATTTAAAGTCCCCAATTAACCTGATCCCCAGAGCATGTCTTTGGACTGTGGGAGGAAGCCGGAGAACCCGGAGAGAACCCACGCAGACACAGGGAGAACATGCAGACTCCACACAGAAAAGGCCACTAGGCGGAATCGAACCCCAGGACCTTCTTTGCTGTGAGGCAAACAGTGCTAACCACCACGCTCACCGTGCCGGCCCCTAGTTTGAGACAGTCTTAGGAATAAGTTTAGAGTAGGAAGAGTACTAAAAACAAACTAACATCAAAGGTATAAATATTTATATTGAATTAGAATATACTTTCTTAAATGACGCTGAACTCCCCACTGGTTCTTGACACACAACTCTGTTGTTTGTGTGTGTGAACGTGTGTGTGTGTGTGTGTGTGTATGCATTCCACTGTAACATCGTCACGGAAACCTGGGGCACACACTTCCTGTTGGTGCCCAGAAACAGGAAGTCCTCCTCCCTCCGAATCCTCTTCCTTTCATTCTTCTTCTCTCCTTCCTGCACGTTTTGCCGGGGCTCACTTCCTGTTTCACCGCTCAGCTGTTGAGTCTTTTCTCTCTCGTTAACTCTGTCACTCTAACGAGGTGGCAGTTGTTGCCGTGGCAATGTGGCTAATTGCTGACGCCTGCTGTGATGATGGGAGGGGTGTAATTGCAGCCTGTTCAGCCTGTTGTGTATGTAGTGGTAGGGGGTGTCACACACGCACACACAATATGTTGACATATTGTCCTAAAACTGTGGGAGACACTGAATCATAAATGTTGTTGTTCGATTAAAGTTTCAGAACAATACAGTTAAGAATCCCACAAAACATTCGCCTTATTTTCCAAAAAATCTTGCATTACCTTCATTACCCAGAATAGTACTCTGTAAATTTGGTACTATCTGTAACTATAGTACTAGTGCTATCTGTAGCTGTAGTACAGTATCTGTAACAGTCATGCTATCTGTAGATCAAGTACTATCAGTAAAATTCTTTTGTAAATTAAGGCCTAAAGCTGATCAGTCCAAACAAGCTTTACAACAGGTCCGGAAGGTGTGTGTCTGTTACCTGGTAATAATTGGGCCAGAAGGTGGACACTGCCAGCTCCACCCCTTTCCAGATGTGGTCGGTAGGGCCTGATGAGTTGAACACAGGAACCCCGAGAGGACTGTTGTTCTCTGCAAGAAACACGAACACTGTGAACAAAGCTGAACAGACACACCCGAGAGCTCCGCCTCCACACAGACACACCCGAGAGCTCCGCCTCCACACAGACACACCCGAGAGCTCCGCCTCCACACAGACACACCCGAGAGCCCCCGCCTCTACAAAGACACACCCGAGAGCTCCGCCTCCACACAGACACACCCGAGAGCTCCGCCTCCACACAGACACACCCGAGAGCCCCCGCCTCCACAAAGACACACCCGAGAGCTCCGCCTCCACACAGACACACCCGAGAGCTCCGCCTCCACACAGACACACCCGAGAGCCCCGCCTCCACACAGACACACCCGAGAGCTCCGCCTCCACACAGACACACCCGAGAGCTCCGCCTCCACACAGACACACCCGAAAGGGCGAGGTGTTTTTTTAAGTATATGTTGCAGTGCTGTAGTACCACAATGCAGTATATGTTGCAGGGCCCATATTACTACAACACAGTATTTGTACCTTTGATGTTCTAGTGTTACAGTACTGTAGTACAATGTTAAAGTAGTCATTGCAGTATTTTTACCTATGATGCAGACATTGCAGTATAAGTATTTGTACCTTTAATGTAGACGTTGAGGCTGGCAGGGGGGGCGCCCTCACGTCCCCCCGCCTGGTAAAACAGGAAGCTGACGCAGTGCGTGTCATTCTCTTTGAGGGGGGGCAGCAGCAGGCGAGCGCGCTGACCTCCGTACCGACCCGACATGTTCACAAACAGGAAGGAGGAACCTGCACACAGGAAAACATCTCAACAATGCATGTCTTTCAAGTACACGATTAGCAATCACATATTTCAAAATATATTTTTTTTGTAGTGTCTCTTTGGGTAACTTAATACTGAGACGTCAATCACAACTAATAAAAGAACCAAACAACCAAAGACTTGTTAGTTAATGATCAATAAAGAAAAAGTAAGTGTGTGTTTGTGAGAGAGCGTGTGTGTATCTAAAGTCTAGTTTATGCTTCTGCGTTTTCAGAGAGACGGAAGGACACGCAGACGCAAGAGCCGCTTGCGTGTCCCTTGCGTGTCTTTTCACGCCTCCTTGCGTGCGTCGACCCATTTTTCTAGACCAGCGTCTAAAGCGACGCAGCGTCCTGCAGCAGCAGGCTGTGATCGGTCTCTGACTACGTCCTTTACGGAGTCTCACGTCTCCGTTTTCACAGCACAATACGGCCGTTATTAAAAGGAAGAACGTTTACGAGAGAACGGATCAGATTGAAGAGCTTTTAAATATGAGCGCTTGTACAAGCCGTCATTGGCGGACGATGAGGACGCCGGATGGCCTCTGATTCATGGAGGGAGATCTCCACAAACGAGGGGAACAAAGTCGTGGAGGAAAATACGGGACAAATGTGTCCGTGATGAAAAGCAGCAGTGTGGATGCACGGGGCAATAAAGTCTATGATCAACAAATAAAGCAACCAGCGACTTCCACACACAAAGACGTGACTCTCCAGGTCGTCTTCAACAAAACACGTGACTCCACCTGTTGTTCTGGAGGTGAATCGCTCTGCAACACACGCAGGACTTTACAACCAGGAAGTGAAACCAGTGCGTCGACACGTAAAGACGCAGAAACACGCGGCGGCCTTCAGAGTGTGTGTGTGTGTGTTTGTGTGTGTGAGAGCAAACTGCTCATTTTGTAGCCATTGAAACTATATAATTGGAAGACTTCAAAATAAAAGCGTTCACTTTTAAGCTCTGCAACTCAAACCCCGACTCTGTCTCTGGGTGCGAGTGTGTGTGTGTGAGTGCTCCCTCATTAGGGTGTGTTGGTGTCATGACTACAGCTGTCAATCAAGCTCTCTGGGTTCACTTTTCTTTAAAGTTTCTATGAAATTCAAATCAATACTGTGAGAGAAGTCTGACACATAGACGCACACACACACACACACACACACACACACACACACACGCATGCAGTGTGTCGGTGGGTTGAAGGGCGTCTCCATAACAACAGCAAGTACTGGTTATACAGCTGTCAGTCACTCAGATGGTTAAAAGCTTCTCTCTTGGACGTTTGAATGATTTTTGTGAGACTTTATTTTGGGTATTATATTAAATAAATTGATTCATTCCTCTCAGACCTTGAATTTAGTTTGAGTTTTGTATTACTTGATATATTCCTCAATAAGACCATCTGACAGATTTAATAATATGATCCTATATGCGATATTACTGCATATACATAAAGGGAGAGGTTGACAGAATAGCAGTAAATTCTGACTGATGTGATCCTCCAACAGCTGATGCTAACACGCTAACAAGCTAACAGCAGTTATGAATTAGGGTTAGTTACCATAGTTACTATAATCATACAAGTTATATTATGTATATGATTGATTTCATAGTTAACTATAATTTTTTAATGTAATAATGTTTTTGTGAGTGTGTGAGAGTGGAGACGTGCGCGTGTGTGTGTGTGTGCGTGTGTGTGTGTGACAGTGTGTAACATGTGTGTTTGTGTGCATGTGTTTTCTTAGCAATCAATGCTTATCAATGGTCCATGAGGACAATAAATGGATTGAAAAACCAAAGTTTGAATCATCACAAAGGAGGAGGAAGTACTTTCATGATTGTTCTATCTCTACTTCATTTCTTCTATGAAGACACTCTCTTACTCATGTCTCTATGTATTGTCCTGACTGATGAGGTCATGTTGTGTGCGTTTGTGTGAAAACATGCGTGTGTGTACCAGCTGTTTCCTTAGCAACAGAGGAATGTTGAGGAGCAGGCGGAGAGGTCGAGGTGTTCATATCTGGACTGCTTCTTGCTCGTGAGCTGACTTTTTTCGTCCAAGTAGTGTCTCTACTAATGAGACTTACTGTCCTCCAAAGCCTTCGTCTCCACAGAGGACAAGCTACACCCACGATCCAACCATCTCTGTGTTTTCAGTCACTATGTATACATATGTATACATAAACACACACTATAATATATATATATATATATATATATATATATATATATATATATATATACACACTGAAACATCTATATTTATGGGAGCTGAGACGGTTTCCTCCTCAAACAGATGAACAAAGACCATCGTGTCCTGGCGTTTCTCTCTCTCGTTAACCTCCCGCCCTCCTCTCAGATGCTGGCCAATCACAGATGACCCCTGCCATCTCTAAACCAATCACATATCATTGGCCCGCGCGCGCACACACACACACACACACACACACACACAAACACACACACACACAGATGGTGGGGGGTAATTCTATTACCAGAGTTATATTGAAACGTGAGGAGAGGCAGCTGCGGCGAATTGAAAAGATTTACACAAATAACACACACATTTCCTGCCGCTGTATGTGTGTCTATGTGTGTGTATTTGCTGCCGGGATTTCAGGATGCGACTGGAAGTTAAAAAATCTGAAAACACCGGGACACAAATCTATATAATAATATAGCTTTATATGATTATTAATCTACATTTGCATTGATTATTAGACTATCGTTCTACATTCATATGCATTATTAGACCGTTAATCTACATTCACATTGACTACAAGTCATTTTTAATAAATACCAGAGCTTTAATCTAGATTTATAATAATTAGTAGGGCCAGGTTCTAGATTTGACTATTTGTTTTGATGCAGCTAGGCTAACAGTTTCCTTCTGCATCCAGTAGGCTGACGGCTTCCTCAGCATCTATTTGTTATGCTAAGCTATGCTGAGCACAAGCTAAGCTAATAATTGGAGCTATCCGTGCACATACATGGCGCTGATACCCAGCTGACACCAGAGAAGAAGAAAAACACCAAGAGGATTTAACAAAATGTCACAATGTTGGGATTCAACAAACCGGCCAATGGGGAGCCAGTGTGTGACTGTGACCTCTCCTGTGATTGGTCAGTTGCTCTGTGTCTTTGAAGTCCCCAAACGAGGCTTTAATTGGTTTTGGCAGGACGCTGATATCACACTGGACTCAGGGACACACACACTTGTGTATATGTATACATTTATATACACACATACACACATCCGTGGAACGTTCAAAGGCTGGATGAATCTCCTGCATGCCGACACGCTGATAAACCCGTTAACACACTAATTAACCCAGACACACAAACACACAATACACAAAGAAATACACACACAGCTTTCTATTATGTATTTGCCAAACTTCAAACACAAACCCACTTGTTCACCTTTATGCGCTGTTTACCTGTTGGCTCGATGGTAGCTGTGTGTGTGTGTATGTGTGTGTGTGTTGTAAACAACAACACACACACACAGAAAAGTGGTTTTGACCTCCAGGTCTCTTTAACACAGAAAGGCATTGTGGGAGATATCACACAACAGACACACAGACACAGTGTGTGTGTGTGTTGTATTCATATTTGCCTTCAAGCTTTCCTGTGTGTGTGTGTGTACAGCTGGCAGTAAGCTGATAACAGCCATATTAGAAATATTAATATACCCTGAACCCCGAAGAGACACACACACTTACATACGCACAAACACACACACACATACAAACACCCACGCCTTTAGTGTGTGTGTGTGTCTGTTCCCTATGGTCATCTGTGATTGGAGAGAATCAATCAGAAGACTGAAACTGTGATTGACAGGAGGACAGAATCCAACACGCAGCTCGAGGTTCTAGACGAGCAGCAGTCAGCAGTCAGTGGAACCGTAAAGAACGTCAACAGGAAGAGAACTGCCAGAACTCACTGCTTCTTCCTGGTTGGTTCCTGAACTTTGACCTCTGACACAGATTTGATCTTAAAGTGTCTCAGCACCTTGTTCTGTGGTAAAGACAAAAATACCCCACACACACTGTGTGTGTCGGTGTGTCTGTGTGTGTGTGTGTGTGTGTGTGTGTATACACAGTATGTGTGTGTTGAAGGGTATTAGAAAAGATTACTGTTACATGCAGCTACACGGTTCAGATTAGATTGAACCTGTACCATTTATAAGAACATTAAATGGAGCCTGGAATCCCTGTTCAATCGATGGCCCGCTGTGTGTGTGTGCGTGTGCGTGTGCGTGTGCGTGCGTGTGTGTGTGTGTGTGTGTGTGTGTGTGTTAAACCTGCCTAGTGCAGAACTTTATTTAAAAAGAGACAATGTTGAATGCAGGTAAAATGATCTCCTCAAAAAGGGTTGGGAGTATTCTCTCAGTGTGGTATTTTGGTATTAGTAATAGTATTAGTGTGTTGTTTTAGTACTTCTCTGCAGAAAAGTGTCTTTGTGTACTTTTTCCACCAATACAACAAGTCTACAAGTGGTAGTACGGATACTACGAATACGGATACTACGAATACGGATACTACGAATACAGATACTACGAATACAGATACTACGAATACGGTTACTACGAATACGGATACTACGAATACGGATACTACGAATACGGATACTACGAATACGGATACTACGAATACGGATACTACGAATACGGATACTACGAATAGGGATACTACGAATACGGATACTACGAATACGGATACTACGAATACAGATACTACGAATACAGATACTACGAATACGGTTACTACGAATACGGATACTACGAATACGGATACTACGAATACGGATACTACGAATACGGATACTACGAATACAGATACTACGAATACAGATACTACGAATACAGATACTACGAATACAGATACTACGAATACGGATACTACTCCACACTGGTAGATCCAGTATCAGCAGCTGCTGTAGAGGGTTGGTTAGATTTAATGACCTGCATCGCCCTGCTCCACACATCGACCCGGAGAGAAGGCTTTGTGTGTATGGGGGGGGGGGGGGGTGATTGCCTGGATTGGCTGCAATTAGTCAAACACCTCCTCTTTCATTGAAGAGAGAAGGAGGAAACAAACTAATCTCCCTCCCCCTCTCCTCCCCCTCTCCTCTCCCCATACATCACAGTAAACAGGACAGTACCCACCCCCCCCTTCTACTCTCCCCACGCCACCTGCGCCACTCTCCTCCCCCCGTACATCCCAGTAACTACCTCTTCTGTTCCTCCCTTCCCCCTTCTCCTCCCCCCCCCCATACATTGCAGTAACCACCTCCTCCCGTGCTCCCCTTTCTCCCCTCCTCTCCCCCCCTTCCCATCTTCTCTCATCTCCCCATACATCGCAGTCACCACCTCCCCCACCCCTCACCTTCTCCTCCCCACCCTCCAGGTGCCCCTCTCCTCCCCCCGTACATCCCAGTAACTACCTCCTCTCTTCCTCCCCTTCTCCTCCTCTCCTCCCCCCGTACATCCCAGTAACTACCTCCTCTCTTCCTCCCCTTCTCCTCCTCTCCTCCCCCCGTACATCACAGTAACTACCTCCTCTCTTCCTCCCCTTCTCCTCCTCTCCTCTCCCCCGTACATCCCAGTAACTACCTCCTCTCTTCCTCCCCTTCTCCTCCTCTCCTCCCCCCGTACATCCCAGTAACTACCTCCTCTCTTCCTCCCCTTCTCCTCCTCTCCTCCCCCCGTACATCACAGTAAGTACCTCCTCTCTTCCTCCCCTTCTCCTCCTCTCCTCTCCCCCGTACATCACAGTAAGTACCTCCTCTCTTCCTCCCCTTCTCCTCCTCTCTACCTCGCCCCCGTACATCACAGTAACTACCTCCTCTCTTCCTCCCCTTCTCCTCCTCTCCTCTCCCCCGTACATCCCAGTAACTACCTCCTCTCTTCCTCCCCTTCTCCTCCTCTCCTCTCCCCGTACATCACAGTAAGTACCTCCTCTCTTCCTCCCCTTCTCCTCCTCTCTACCTCCCCCCCGTACATCACAGTAAGTACCTCCTCTCTTCCTCCCCTTCTCCTCCTCTCCTCCCCCCGTACATCACAGTAACTACCTCCTCTCTTCCTCCCCTTCTCCTCCTCTCCTCTCCCCCGTACATCACCGTAAACAGGACAGTAACCACCTCCTCTCTGTGTGTCCTCGCTCAGCCTGTCTCTCACGTGATTGGCTCTGTGATTTAAGAGCGCTGTATTCTCATTCGTCAGCGGCTGACCCTCTGTGAGCTCGTGACGTGCACACACTCACACACCGTGTTACCTGCTGTGTCCATAACTCAGAGGAGGAGCAGCTCAATAGCAGATAACAGGAGCTGCAGCAGCTTCTCTCCTTCGTGCTGCCTTCATGTACAAACAGTCGAAAGGGACGCTGCTGCATTCAAGGACACGTTCTATTCTTCAGAAGTTCTGCTCGACCCCACGGTGACTTTAATTTAGTGAGATGTGTCTGTGGGCGGAGCCTCAGTGAAGGCAGACAGACAGACAGACAGACAGGCAGAAAGGTACCTGCAGGGATCCAGGGGTTGCTGGCCGGTCTCTCTCTGGTGTCTCCTTGCTCCCAGTCAAAGTCGTCCTCTTTGGACTGGACCAGAGCGCAGTCTGGGGCCTGACCAGACAGACAGGCTGTAAGAGAGAGAGACGGGTGGTTATGTTCTGGTCTTCTGAGACAGACAGACAGAGGAACAACATGTTACGACGGTTTCCCCCCTTTAGTTCTTTCACTGTGATATATGTTCTGACCACGAACACATGCTTTATGTCGGGGGGGGACCAGGGGTCAGTGGCCATTTTTCATTCCACCAAAGACACGACAGCAGTTTCAAATGTTAAAAATTGATCCTCAGAGTGACAACGCTCCAGTTCACCAACATCTCCCAGCATCCTCGATACACACACACACACACCCTCAGTGATGCTGCTTGTGTACATATATTTTATGACATTAAGGGCTCAACGCCTCTTCAGTGAAATGACTCTTTGTATGTGTGCGTGTGTCCCATCTCAAAGAGTTGACATTAAATAGCTGCAAGGCTCATTTTCTTTATTTATAACAGACGGCACATTACACAGGCACGCACGCACGCGCACACACACACACACACACACACACACACACACACACACGCGCACACACACACACACACGCACGCACATACACACACACACACACACACACACACACACGCGCACACACACACACGCACGCACATACACACACACACACACACACACACACACGCGCACACACACACACACACACGCACGCACATACACACACACACACACACACGCGCGCGCACACACACACACACGCACGCACACACACAAACATTAAACACACACACACAGAAAACACACACAATCCCTGAGGACAGTGTTAGCTGTTAGCTCATCAACAGATACGAGACACAATCTGTTTAATCTGCTGCTATGAATTTGTGTCTATATAACAAACACACACACACACACACACACACAGACAGACAAACACTCCCTCACTCTATCGGTCCATCTGCTGTCTGACAGGTGCAGAGACAGACAGGTGCAGAGACAGACAGGTGCAGAGAGAGACAGTTGCAGAGACAGACAGGTGCAGAGACAGACAGGTACAGAGACAGACGGTTACAGAGACAGACAGGTGCAGAGATAGACAGGTGCAGAGAGAGACAGACAGGTGCAGAGAGAGACAGACAGGTGCAGAGACAGACAGGTGCAGAGACAGACAGGTACAGAGACAGACAGACAGGTGCAGAGACAGACAGGTGCAGATATAGACAGGTGCAGAGACAGACAGGTGAAGAGACAGACAGGTACAGAGACAGACAGACAGGTGCAGAGACAGACAGGTGCAGAGACAGACAGACAGGTGCAGAGACAGACAGGTGCAGAGACAGACAGGTGCAGAGACAGACAGGTACAGAGACAGACAGACAGGTGCAGAGACAGACAGGTGCAGATATAGACAGGTGCAGAGACAGACAGGTGAAGAGACAGACAGGTACAGAGACAGACAGACAGGTGCAGAGACAGACAGGTACAGAGACAGACAGGTGCAGAGACAGACAGGTGCAGGAAAGCAGAAAATACAAAAAACACACATTTTACCTCACCAGCACACACTGAGTGTTGACAGGGAACAGAAAACACACCCTGTCGATGTGGGGTGTGTTTTCTGTTCCCGGTGTATGTGTGTGCGTGCATGCACGTGTGTGTGTGTGTGGTTGTAATTAATCATAATATGCCGTTATTGATCCTGTGCCCTCTTTATTCTCCAGTCGCCTAATCAATAAGTACAAGTCCTACGAGTTGGAGCACTGTTAACCCTCCACAGCCCTTTACTCTCGCCTCCACACCATCACAGATACTGTGTATATATATCAATATATATGGACATATATATCTGTACAGGATATAGGGCTGCAATTGACTATTATTTTAATAATAGATTGATTTGTTGATTTTTTTTTCGGATAAAAATACAAAAATGTGTTAATTTCAAAATTCACAGTGCAAAAAATCTAAAGAAACAGGTTGTAATAATAAAAAAAGAAAATGGAATAACACAAGAAACATAGACATCACAAACACACGCTGACATGGCTTAAAGTTACAGGTAGGGCTGGCTCAGCCTGACAGTTAGGGCTGGTTTATGTTCAGGAGACAGGAGAGTAGTGAAAGCAGAAATCAAATCTGAAGCAGTAAGTGTCAGTGAAGTGGTCTCCATTAGAGTCCGCAGAGACAAGATAGCATTTAGCTGATCTGCTGGTGGGCCGGATTAGACCTCTGCTGCTGCCACTTCCCATCCCGCTGTAATCTATTAAGAAGCAGCCAATCCCAGATACACACGGACGCACAAAGACGCAGACACACACAGGCCTTAGTGAGCTGGCACGGCGTGTTGGGTGGAGCTGCACTCGTCTTCTTTTACAAGCTCTTCCTCTTTTCATCACTCTCTCCCAGCCTGCATGATGCTTGTCCCCCCCCTCTGAAATACGCCGGCTGAATGAAACCATCTGGTACTGATTAGGAAAATCATTCCTCTTTCTTCTTCTATGGTTTATTCTGCAACACCCATTCTTCCTTCCTCCTTCCCTCTCCCCTCCTCTCTGAATCTGAGTTGAACAACTGATCCGGGATCCGCTGAGCAAACGACGTGGTGCTCAAAGCCAATGGTGTCGATAAAGTTTATTCAAGGAACGACAGCAGTATATATATATATATATATATAAGATTTTCAGGTTAAATGGAATGTGTAATTGTACCTTATTTTTCGGCCTTTACAAGCACTTTGCATTAACGACCTCCTGCTCCAGATGTAATCAGGTCGTCTCTAAACGTGGTCCATCACTACTGTGGGAGGCACAGTGGCTCTCAGCGGACTTCCTGTTCCATTGTGCCTCCGACACACAGGAAGCTGCACGGAGCCTGTTGTATCAGGAGCTAATAGAATCGTGCAGCTAGTTAGAAAGAGTAGAAGATGGTCTCCCATTAATGGAGCTTTGTGGTGGAATAAGTTGATAAGAGATGATATACGAGGACTTATGTCAAGATATAAAGCCTCTCTCTCTTTCTCACACAGACTCTTATTGTTCAGGACGACCGGCGCCGAGCGAGCAGCAGAATGTTAACGAGCCTAAAGACACACCAAGCTGAGCCCATATCACACAGGTTCACAGGGGAGGAACTACAAACATGTCTGATCCACTGAAGAGCAAGAAGAAGAAACAAGAGGAGACCAGGAATCATGAGGACGAGTTAAAAACAATGACCAGTCAACAAGAGAACTACAGAACCGAAAGATTCTAGAAAACAAAGGAAAACATATATCACTTCAACCACCCATCTCCAAAGCCGCTTATCCTTCATACAAGGTTGCGGCGGGGAGCTGGAGTCCATCCATCCAGTGCTGACATCGGGCGAAACGGGTGCACCCTTGTTTGGACGCCAGAGTAACGCACAACCACACACACACGCACACTCAATTAACCTAAAAGAAACTGATCAAATCATCCAAAACAACTTTTATCAATACACATCTACAAAATATGACTAAAGTACAATGATGATGAAGACACAAAGCAGAGAGTACATCAGCACTACTAATACTACTGATAACACTGCTACCAGTACTAGTAAAAGCGACAGATAGGAGGAAACAAGAAGGTAGAGAAGGAGCAGGAGATGGGGAGTGGGGATAGAAAAGGAGATACCGAAGGAGAGGAGGAAGACACAAGGAGGTAGAGGAGGATATAGAGGAAAATAGGAGAAGAGGACAAAGAAGGATTGAGGGAAGAGGAGTAAAACAGGAAGTAGAAGAAGATGAGAAGGTAGGGGGAGGGGAGGAGGGTATACAGGATGAGTGCTATTGTGCGTCAAGACTTCTTCAGGAAACAGCGTTTTCCTTCCTGTCTTTGTCTTTCCATCTGACACACACTGATCACCCCCCCTGTCCTCCTCCCCACCAGTCACACACGTATCTATATATACATACATATACCCACACACAAACAAGCTGTGTGTAACCATCTAATGTGTGTTATTATCAGCTGTGTTCAGCTGTAGTGGTCTCACAGTTAGCTGTTAGCATTCAGTGATGCTAACACGCTGAAAAACTTGACCCGGAGAGTTGCCTGGAAGAGGCTGGACAGACAGTGGATGTGACACACGCAGCTCCCAGTAGCACCTGGGGCGGTGTGTGTGTGTGTGTGTGTGTGTGTGTGTGTGTGTGTGTGTGTGTCTGTGTGTGTGTGAGATTGGAAGTGACAGTGGACACACCCACTCTGACAGATAAAAGTGGCCTGTGGTGTCAGTAGTGGCATTTAGCTGGTACAAAACACACACACACACACACAAACGATGACAGTAAGCATGAGACAAGATGGCAGCAAGAAGACATAGAAGTGAACAAGGGGAGGATTCAAGTGAACAAGGGGAGGTGCAAGTGAACAAGGGGGGGTACAAGTGGACAAGGGGAGGTACAAGTGAACAAGGGGAGGTACAAGTGAATAAGGGGAGGTACAAGTGGACAAGGGGAGGTACAAGTGAACAAGGAGAGGTACAAGTGAACAAGGAGAGGTACAAGTGGACAAGGGGAGGTACAAGTGAATAAGGAGAGGTACAAGTGGACAAGGGGAGGTACAAGTGAATAAGGAGAGGTACAAGTGAACAAGGGGAGGTACAAGTGGACAAGGGGAGGTACAAGTGAATAAGGAGAGGTACAAGTGAATAAGGAGAGGTACAAGTGGACAAGGGGAGGTACAAGTGAATAAGGAGAGGTACAAGTGGACAAGGGGAGGTACAAGTGGACAAGGGGAGGTACAAGTGAATAAGGAGAGGTACAAGTGAACAAGGGGAGGTACAAGTGAACAAGGAGAGGTACAAGTGGACAAGGGGAGGTACAAATGGACAAGGGGAGGTACAATTGAATAAGGAGAGGTACAGGTGGACAAGGGGAGGTACAAATGGACAAGGGGAGGTACAAGTGAATAAGGAGAGGTACAAGTGAACAAGGGGAGGTACAAGTGAACAAGGAGAGGTACAAGTGAACAAGGAGAGGTACAAGTGAATAAGGAGAGGTACAAGTGAATAAGGAGAGGTACAAGTGAACAAGGGGAGGTACAAGT